TTAGTTAAAACTTAAAATAGGTTTGCCCCTCTATATTCGTCTAGCAGAAGTGGTTTTGCTCAAGTCATTATGACATTTTAAGTTCTCAGTGCTCTACTAAAGCCCATATGTAATCATATATTCCTTTTTTATTTCTATCAACAATAGTTTTCACCCTTTCCAAAACGAATTGATCCACTATGCTACACATTTTCTCAATCTATTTGTCAATATGACATGTTATTGTTGATTATTACTTTAACTGGAGTTGATTTTCTGTAACAAACTTATGTATAATTTATTTTATATAAACACACATGTACACACTCATATGCCAAATGCACTTCCCAACTAAAACATGTTATACACACATGAATGATTCAACTGAACCAACTGTTCATGTATGTGATTGTGAACAGATAGATAATAAAATAATGGTTAGCTATCAATCACAATGTTATTGCAGAGAGCAGCAGTATCGAAAGGTGTACTAGGTGCATGGTGGTATATACACTGAAAGAGTGCAGGTAAAGATAGTGTGTATTGTGCTAAGCTGGGACTGGATACATATGTTTGAAGTGTCCAAGACAAAATCTATTGACGAAATAATTTTCAAACTGAAGACTGTGGAGATTGGTATATCTATAATAATAAAAGAGTAAAGTGATTGACTGCTTGACTGATTTAACGATTCATCAACGCCCAGACGAAGCGGCTGAAGCTAGAATCTTGAAATTTTGGGTGAAGGTCACCTTGGTCCACATGTGACAGAGAAGGCTAGGTTTTTGAAAATTCGTACTAGAACGGTACGAAAAGTACTAAATGTGATACCATTTGTAATTGGCGAACCGGTAGAGCTAGAACTCTGAAATTTGGATTGAGGGTCACTGATGGAGTGTAGAAGAGATGTAGCAAAGGACTTTTTGGAAATTTGAACTATACGTATCCGAAAAGTATTGAAATGTACTAAATGTGGTAGCACGTGAATGGATTATGCTAAAACCTTGAGTTTGGAAAGCGTGTACTCATGTGTACGAAAGTACTATATGCTACTATATTTGGTACAAATTTGATTTGGAGGTACAAATAGAGCTGGAATCCTGAAAATTAAAAGTAACATTACCGTCAGAGTATAGGATTGGGATATGTACGCAGTTTTGGAATTTTTTTACTTATGTGTTCGAAAAGTACTAAATCGTACTATAATTGGTACAATTTGGATTTGGGTGAACCGATAGAGCTGGAACAATGAAGTTTGGAGTTAGGATCATTGTAGGGATGTAGGATTAGGGTTAGGATTCAGTTTAACTTATGGGTACTAAATGGTACTAAATTTGGTACATTTTTATTTTAGGTGAATCAATAGAGCTAGAATCATGAAATTTGGAGTCAGGATCACTGTTAAAGTGTAAGATTGAAATATGTAGGAAGTTTTAGAAATTTGTACTAATGTGTACTAAATTTGGTACAAATTAAATTGTGGGTGCAGCGATAGAAATGGAATTTTTATTTAGGATCACTGTGGAGGTATAGGATTTAAGTATGTAGGAAGTTTTGGAAATTGGTACTATTGTGTACTAAATTTTGTACAATTAAAATTGTGGGTGAACCGATAGTGTTGGAATCCTGAAACTTGGATTTTGGATCCACAGTGATCCACAGTGTTGATTGGGGTAAGAAGGAGGTTCTGGAAATTCGTACTACTTTGTAATAAATTTGGTACAATTTGAATTGTGGGTGAACTGATAGAGTTTGAATCCTGAAACTTAGATTTACGATCACTGTGGGGGTGTTGGTTTGGGATAAGTAAGAAATTTGGAAATTCGTACTACTGTGTACTAAATTTGGTACAATTTGAATTGTGGGTCAACCGATAAAATTGAAATCCTGAAACTTGGATTTTGGATCACTGTGGGGGTGTAGGATTTGGGTATGTAGGAAGGTTAAGAAGGAGGTTCTGGAAATTCGTACTACTTTGTACTAAATTTGGTACAATTGGAATTGTGGGTGAACTGATAGAGTTTGAATCCTGAAACTTAGATTTAGAATCACTGTGGGGGTGTTGGTTTGGGTTAAGTAAGAAGTTTTGGAAATTCGTACTACTGTGTACTAAATTTGGTACAATTTTAATTGTGGGTTAACCGATAAAGTTGGAATCCTGAAACTTGGATTTAGGATCACTGTGGGGGTGTAGGATGGGGTATATAACAAGTTTTGGAATTGGTATTACTGTGTACAAAATTTGGTACAATTTGATTTGGAACCCTGAAATTTGGATTTAGGATCACTGTGGTGGTGTAGGTTTGGGTTAAGTACTAAATTTGGTACAATTGGAATTGTGGGTGAACCGATAGAATTGTAATCCTGAAATTTGAATTTGGAATCATTGTGAGGGTGTAGGATAGGGGTATGTAGGAAGTTTTGGCGGATGGTTGAGGTGGGTATTCTTGGAAATAATGTGTGCTAAATTTAGTACAATCTGATTTTGGGTGAACCTGTAGAGCTCGAATCATGAAATTTGGTGCTAAATGGTACTCAAATGTAATTTATGGTCGAAATTAATGTGTGGATAGTATAGTTTTTCTTTCATAGTCAGTTAATACATGTTTAAATATATCCCACATTCGCTAACGAACGAACTTTTACATATTTTTTATTTTTATTTATTAATATTTCTTGGACTCGCTTTATAATATTAGTTTATTAAATCAATTAGTTAGTGTGATGCAAAAATGCGGGACCAAAAATAGGGCGTTGTTTCTAGGAATCGGAAAGAGTAATTAAATATACAGATATTTATGTTGGACCTGAAAAATACCTATAACACTGTGGAACGTCTTTGAGGACCCGATATCCTTCACCACTTTGGGTACATAGAAGAGGTGCTCATGTGTACAATATCATGGCGATAGAACAAATTAAATCGAACATATTTACATAAGTGATCTACATATCCATACCACACTGTAAATTGCAGCTAAAGTATGTATGGACCATGTAAATCTGGACCGATTTAAGCAAACGTTCCATATGCTACAGTGTTCTGTCCAAGATTTAATTTCGATCGGTTCACAATTTACATGAACTCAGACGAAAATATATGGGGTTATATCTCGAGCTTATACGAACCGTAATATCTCGAGCTTATACGAACTTCAGTAAGTTGTGCACCATTTACGTAAAATCAGACGGAAATATATATGGGAGCTATATGTAAATCTGAACAAGTTTCAATGAAACTTTACACACTGTATCTAAGTTGTGCCAAATTTTGTTTTAATAGGATAACCCTTTGAGAGTCAGTGTTAGTCGGTGTCGCCGACATATATGTAGCGTCAGCCTATGGTAGTCTTCGGAATTACCCACAGGTTTTATTATTTATACACGGTATATATTTTTTGGTTTCGGATTTAATGTCAATCAAGCCGATTTTGATATTTTTAGTAAACACCCTTTGGATCCCACCTTTGGAGCCTACATCAAGGCTTGGTAAAGTTTATTTATTTATTTTTTGTTTGAAAAATTCTGTTGAATTCATACATTCTGAATTCATACATACATCTATTCGCCTGGTATTGAATTTATAAATATGGACCATTTTTAACTATTTGTGGGGGAGGTATCAGAAGGAGTGAACCAATGGGTCCACTTCCATCTTACTATATGATCTAGGCTTGATAAAGATAATAGGTTGCGCAAAGTTTGGTTCAAATCGGCTATTTCTTTCTCCTAATATTGAATTTATAAATATTGAAAATTTTTAACTATTTATGGATGAGGTACGAGAAGGAGAGGACCAATAGGTCCCATCTTCAGACTTGATCTAGGCTTGGTAAATATAATACGATTTTCCATTCGCACTATATTATAGAATTAATTTTTATCACAATTTTGGACGGGACCGACTATATGATACCCTTTACCACTTTGACTGTATTCAAGAGATGCATCCTATCAGACCACGCATTTTTGAAGAACCATTGACATGAAAGTGGACTACATTAAATATGTGATATGTGTCTATAAGTGAATCGATAATTTCCAATCCTATAAAGTATATATTTTTGATCAGCGTAAAATTCTAGCCTTTAAACGAATAGGGATAGATCGTCAAAATTTTTAATTTTTTGGTGCTCTATTTACTAAATATCGGACGAACATATTATATACGGGTGTCATATAAAAATCTGAACTGATTTCAATAAAATTTGGCACATGTTAAGCTATACTAACTTCAGCACGTTCTGCTAATCGGCTTAAATTTTACTCTTTTGTGCACCATTTGCTCAAAAATTGGACGAAAATATTTATGGGAGCTATACCTAATCTGAACCGATTTCAATGAAACTTGGCACACGTTATGTTATCCTATCTTCAGTTCGTTGCTCAAGATTTTGTGCGAATCGTGCTAAATTTGACACTTTGGTGAACCAGTTGCTAAAAATCGGACGAAATTGTATATGGGAGCTATATCTTATCTATAAAACTTGGCACACGTTAGGCTATCTTTGGTGACCCAATTGCTAAAAATCGGACGAAAATAATATGAACTGATTACCACCAAAATAGGGTTTGTCGTTGGGGCAAATAAATGATCTTTACCAAATTTCATATCATTCGGATAATAAATGCGGCCTGCACTTTACATGACCTTCCAAACCAACTAACTGTATGCCGTTTTTCGATTCTTTTCATATTCTTTTATATAATTTAAAAAAATCTCCAAAGTAAGACATGATAATGTTTCATCCGTTTCCATTGGGCTTTTTCGATTCAGCCAATCACTAACCGTTTACTATGTTCAAATTGCAATAAAATTAACTCAGAACACTTCAGTGTAACACCACAACGATTGAGTTTAACCATAATGGCGAATGTTATAAAAAAATGACAACAACAACAAATAGTTGCCAACATGACGGCATATACTATCTATGCCATACATACATATCCTATGCCGTTCATACGATACATGCAAACAGGTAATGTTGAAAATGTGTCTAGAATGAATCTGTACTTACCACTGCCACTATCATATGATTTAGTGGTGGAGCTGCTTGTATTGGAGCGTTTAATCTCTCGGCGACCCATGTTGCTGGTTGCAATAACTGTTGGTGCTGGTGTTGTTTTTGTTGTTGGTGGTGTCTTTGTTGGCGATGCTACAACGTTATGCAATTGAGAATGCTGTTGATTTAACGATAAATGCTGCTGTTGATGGTGGTGTTGGTGATGATGCTGCTGCTGCTGCTGCTGCTGGTGCTGATGATGTTGTTGTCGGTGGTGCTGGTGGTGTTTTTGATGGTGATGATGATGTTGATAATGGTAAATACTTTTCGGTGAGTTATTAGCAGAGATACAGCCTGTTGCGCCAACGGCAGATGTTGGGGTGTCGTTGCTAGACGATGGCCAGGCGCTACTTGCCGCTGCTAATGCTACTGCTGTTGTTGTGGCCAGCGAGGGGGCTGATAGCGATGTTACCGTTACAGAATCGTCCAACAACAACAACGATGCTTTCGGTGGGAATTCAAAGTAATTTATTTGCAATTGATTGATATGGGAATTGTGGCGTGGGAGCAGTGGACCTTTCGACTCGTTCTCTTTAGCGTTGGTGTTGGTGGTGGCGGGATGAGAGGTGGTTACTATTTCGCTGGCTGTTGCTGAGGGTGTTGATGGTGCTGTTGAGGTCTGACAAATGCAATTGATGTTGGGTGTTGGTGGTGGTGCTGCTGGATAAGCGTTGTTAATGTAACTGCTGTTAGCTGCTGTGTTCGTGGATGACGGCTTGCGTAGTGATGTGTGTCTCAACCCTTTGACAGGGTGTAATGGATACTATCGGCCGGCAATACGAACCCAATCACGATTTTCGCTGTTATACCAAATACCTGCAACGATAACAACAAACAAGTCAAAATTAATTGGTTTCCTCTATAAAAACATTGACTATGATGACGATGATGATGATGGCTAACCCAAATAAAACTAATGAATGAACTTTTTTCTATCATAGATTTCGGTCTACTATGGTGCTATGTTCTAATGTATGTGTGTCTGTGTAAACGTGAAAGAGTATTTTGTTTTATTACAAAACGAGGCAATTTAACACCAACTTATTCCATTTATTTAGTTATATGATGTCAAAAACACAAACTATTAAACAACGCTTTAGGCTTTTATTGGCAAACAAATTAAAAATATGAGAATCAGTGATGTTTTCCAATTTGACATAATTGGAAAAAAAATGTTTTTTGTTGTCAATTGTTTAATTATTTAAGAATGGCGTTTGGCTCAGCCTAAATCCAAATTTATCCATATGACAACAAAAAAAAAAAAAAAAAAAAAAAAAAAAAAAAAATTTATCCATATGACAAACGCCGCGAAATATTGGTCCTAGACCCACCTTTAAGTATACCGATCGTCATATCTCGACTAGCTGAGTCGATCTAGACATGTGTGTCCGTCCGTTTGTCCGGCTGTCCATTATAATTTGTAAACACGATACAGGCCACAGTTATGGGCCAATCTTCATGAAATTTTACATGTAGGATGGGTTCTGCCCAATAAACACCCCCATTGTTTTTGGTAAAGATCGGTTGATTTTTAGGGGATGAAATGGACCAAATACTTAATTTTTGTCGGTTTTTCTCGTCGCTCCAGAGGCCGCAATTATGACCCAAACATTGCGAATTTTTACATGGAGAAGGGGATCGGGCCAAAGAATAAGCATGCCTGTTTTGATAAGGATCGGTCAATATTTAGTGGATCAAATGGACCCTGATTTTTGTGTGAAAAATGACAAAATTTGTATTGCGAGAAGTTGATAGAATATCCAAGAGGCGTGATTGACCTTAAAATTGATGGATGTCGGAGTTAGACGTACATATTTACTGGTGCCTACGTATTCATATATTATTTAGTAACCCATTATCACTCTAGAGAGAGGAATTATAGCGCTGATCACTTTGAAATGTTCCATAAGGTTCCAGGTATGGTTAAGGACAAAGCCTTGAATTTTCGGTGATGATCAGAAACCAATATTGGAATGAAGTGGGCCAAAAACTTAATTTTTGTGTTTTTTTTTCGAGTCGATCTATAGGCCACAATTATAAGCCAAACATCACAACACAATCCAAGGTGAAGGACAATTAATTAGATGGGTTGTACTGAATACTAGTAATATTTGTTGACCTCTAGTTGGTCAAGAGTGTGCAAATATCGCGCAATATTGCCCAATCTCAGATATATAACCACACAAACTTAAATTTTTGTGGAAGTTGTGTAAGGTAACATATGGACGGCACCGTCCGACTATACTGCTCCGCTCACTGGTTTCAAACTTAACAAAAAGCATTGTTGATTAAATTGCATACCCGTTGTTAAATTTCGTTCATATGGAACAAACATAGACTCCTCGGTGCGCCATGTATATAAAATCGGACGAAAATATGTATGCGAGCTATATCTAAATCTGAACCGATTTCAACAAAACTTCACTGACGTCAACCTGCAGTATCCAAACTTTTGTCTATCACATATTTTATCTTATTATCAGTATAGAGCTCCATTTACATAAAATATTTATGAGCTATAACTAAATCTGAAATGATTCCAACAAAACTTCGCATACATCAATCCGGACTTAATTCAGTACGCTGTGCAAAATTTTGTCTCAATCAGACAAATATTAACAGTATGGTATTTCATTTACATAATATCAGACGAAACTATATATGGGAGATATATTTAAATCTGAACCGATTCCAATAAAACTTGGCATACATCAATCAGGACCTATGTCAGTACTCTGTGCAAAAATTTTTCTCAATCGGACCAATACTGGGAGTTTGGTGTTCCATTTACATATAATCGGACGAATATATTTGAGTGAGATATATATACGAATATATTTGAGTGAGATATATCTGGATCTATTTGATTGGACAAATATTGGCAGTATAGCGCTACATTTACATACAATCGGACAAAACTATATATGGGAGCTATATCTAAACCACTAATGCACAAAATAGTACGATAGCGCTGATCGCTAAACACGTATTCTTTTTTTGTCTCTTTTCGTCAGTCATTTTTGATGCTACTCTACTCTCTCAAATACTTACTCTCAATTTAGTTCTGTTCAACGCTGATCTAAACGCAAACGTGAATAAGGACTCTGTGCAAAATGTTGTCTCAATCGGACCAATATTGGAAGTTTGGTGCACCATTTACACAAAATCGAACGAAACTATATATGGGAGTTATATCAAAATCTGAACCGATTCAAACAAAACTTCGCATACATCAATCTGGACCTAATTCAGTAAGCTGTGCACAATTTTGTCTCAATCGGAAAACATTGACAGTATGGTGCTCCATTTACATAAAATCAGACGTAACTATATATGGGAGCTATATCGAAATTTGAACGAACGGACTCAGAAAGTGATTCTATCCATATTCTCAAAAAGAAGCATGGGTCTATCTCGATTCCTTTTGCCTGTTACAAAATATGTATAAAATCATAATACCCTGTACCAAAGTGTTGTGATGGGTATAAATATGGTTAGGGTTCTAATGCCTATATTTGGACTGGCTAAATCCGTGATTGTCTTTTATCCTCTGAAAACTTATAATGACCCACTTAGGTTGAAAATTGCTAATGCTTGACCGATTGGATTTATCCTAGTTCATACGATAGCTATACACTCACAGAGAAACGTCCTAAAATTTGGAATCGATCGGATTATTAGTTTTTGAATTATCCAGCACGCCAATCGCAAAAACTCTGTTTGGAGAAAAATGCGTTTAAAGTTTGAGAAGCCGTCACTTGATGTTGTAAAAATAAATCTGCTATATTTTAAGAGTTCTTGAGATTTTTACTTGAAAAATTGTAGGAAAATTCTTGAATTTGTATAGATTCGAATTAAATAAAAAAACAAAATTAAATTTCTTGAAACCGAAAATGGGGATCCCCTTACCTTTCCTAAAATATCGAAATTTAGGAGGAAAGGTATATACTGACAACACGGCAATAGCAGCAAAGTATGTCCAAATGTTCAAAGCTCGATCTTTATTATACCCTTCACCACACTGTGGTACAGGGTATTATGTCTTTGTGCATATGTTTGTAACAGGCAAACGGAAACGAGATAGACACATGGTTCCTTTTGAGAATATACATAGAATCACTTTCTGAGTCGATTTATGCATGTCCGTCTGTCCATCTATAGATGTTAAATTGTAAACTATAGATGTTAAATTGTAAACAAAGTACAGGTCGCATTTATAATCCGATTTGGATGAAATTTGGCACAAGTCACTTATTTGGCACAAGTCACTTATTTGGCCCAAGGACAAACCCTATTGAAATTGGGAAAAATCGGTTCAGATTTAGATGTCTTTCGATTTGCATGAAATTTGGCATAGTGTACTGAATTAGGGGCAGAACGATGTGTGGTAAGTTTCGAGAAAATCGGTTCAGATTTAGATATAGCTCCCATATATAGGTTCGTCCGATTTAAGGTAAATGGTGCACCAAAGTCCCTATATATCGTTCGATTTGCATGAAATTTGGCATAGAGTACTGAATTATATGCAGAATGATGTGTGCCAAGTTTCGAGAAAATCGGTTCAGATTTAGATATAGCTCCCATACATAGGTTCGTCCGATTTAAGGTAAATAGTGCACCAAAGTCCTTATATATATCATTCGATTTGCACGAATTTTGGCATAAAGTACTGAATTAGGTCCAGAGTGATGTGTGCCAAGTTTCGTGAAAAGCGATTCAGATTTAGATATAGCTCCCATATATAGTTTTGTCCGATTCTATGTAAATGGTGCACCAAAGTTCCTATATACCTTTCGAATTGCATGAAATTTGTCACAGCGTACTGAATTAAGTCTAGAATGACGTGTGCTAAGTTTCGGAAAAATCGGTTCTGGTTTCGATATAGCTCCCACATATACATATATATTCGTCCGATTTTACATAAATGGTGCACCAACCTTCTAAAGTTTGTCCGATTTACACGATTTTGTGCACAACGTATCAAGTTGAGAGAATAACGTAAATGCGTTTTGTTGAAATTGATGTAAATGCTGTCATAGCTTACATATGTATTTCGAATGGATGTCTGAATGAAATTAAAATTTAACAGTGCGGCGACCGAATAGCGTGTAATTTTGCTATAAGTCGTTTTTCATAAATTTGTCCCATGGTACGAAGTCGACTTTAAATCTGCCAGAATCAAATGTAATTTATCATAGGTTGCTGAAAGACTTGCGTATGTTCCTTGGAGGGGTACATATGTACAATATACCAAAAGTGGTGAAGGGTATCATATAGTCGGCCCAGTCCGACTTTACTGCTTTCCTTACTGTTTTTTTTTTATTTTTTAATGTTATATTACTATATCGAGCTAATTTCTGTAATACAAGATTTTTGGCGGGTGGAACATTATATTCGAAACCCTAGTCGTATTTTTTAATCAACTTCGGTTCTGTGACTTTTCCGTAGATCCCGTAATTCCGTATTTGAGATATAGAAGACTTCTCACTTCTTACGTCCTATTTCAATTAATATATCGTCTTAAGACTTTATAATAAACTCTTAAATATTTAATTTTTCAATTTCAATAATTCTGATATAATGCTTCAGTTTAATAAATGTTTACAATTTAAATTAGAATTCTTGAAATTACTTTTGCCGATGAAGTCGAAACATGCCATACAATAAAATTTCTTTAATGGCAAATAATCCAGATACAAAGTCAAAAATCCAATGTTTAATGTTGGACAAAAATTTAATTA